AATAATAGTGGATTGCCCGTGTGGCTAGTAATTTAATAACATGCTACACATGTATAATATGTATTTAAGTGCTACATGCTTTTCTTTTTCCACTAAAATAATCATGCTTTTTTTTGTTTTTTTTTTTTTTTACAATCATAATAATGATATGATAGTAAGAATAGCTTACAATCTTGATCGGCTGACCCTTGACATTCGGTCATGTTTCGCCTGTAGCACTTGACACTCGGCCTTATGACGCCTCCTATATTAGACAGTTGGCCTCACGACGCCTGTGGTACTTGGCTGCTTGGCCGGATGCTCGGAGGCTGATATCATGTCGGCTGTATGTGCTTGAGATAACAAGCCCTTAGCTCTTGCGTTCAAGCCTCATGCGCCTATGCCAGCTGGATGTTTGTGTTGTTTAGTAGCAGGATGCCGGCTGTACCCATTAGATGTCATGCTAGTTGCATATTGCTTGTCCCACATATGCACAGCCGGATGTGTGGTTAGAGCAGGTCGGCTGCCTATGATGCCGCCTGTATGGTATGCTTACTAGGGAGCCTAGGGACGACTGTGTATTAAGCAGCCCCTGCTCACACGCATGGACGTACCAATTGGACTCAACACAAGGTTGTTCAGCAACTTTTAGCAGACGGAGCTGCCTGTCCAGATGTTGGACGCTTTGTACCGCCTGCCCCCTGAGGAGGGCCGGCTACATACATGACTGCCCACACGGCATGTATGGCTGCTGAAGCGCATACTGTGCCGAATGGATTATCTGAGGGCCAGAATGGACGGACAAGCCGCTTGACTAACCCCCTCGGTTTGATTGTGAATGCCTCATTCAGGTATTCTAGAAGCTGTCTGGGTAGGTCGACATTGAAGTCGACTCAGACATTTAAGATGGGGAGGAGGCACCTGGTCTTTGACCTCGACCGTAGGCCGCCTCCTATCAGTAGGCAGTACAGATTGTTGTGAAGCCATCTCAGCAGTACTCTCCCCACAGACGGCGCCAAATGTTTTGGGGTTTTTTGATGTGTCTTGCTGGAGAGTTACAACATCGAGACTGACCTCCGGCTGCCTGTACCTGCAAAACCACGGAGACTCCCAGGGGTGGGAGTTCCGCCTCCGACGATTAAGTTAGAACGCGTATGAGGAGTATAGTGCGGAATGTAAATACTTCTCTCTGATTTAGAGAGAATTCTGCAATGAATATTGCTCGGTTTTTGTGTGGATTGAATGTGTATTCAATAATGAATCCCCCATAAATGAGGATGGTTCCTCTATTTATAGTGAAGGGGATCAGCTCCCCTTCTAGGGTTCAGGTGACACGTGTCAGGAGAGGGTTGGATCCCCCTGGGCCTCTCTGAGGCTGACACGTGTCAGCAGGCCATTGGGACACGTGCTGTATTTGCATTGGTCCATTTGTCAGGGGTATTTTAACCCCCAAACAAGCAGAATAAGATTATCACAAGTAGTAGGAGTCACCTGAAAGAACATGAGGGAGTCATCTGCGAAAAACAGGTGAGATATAGAAGAAGCCCCTCGAGATATACGTATACCCTGAATCAGAGAACGGTCCTCATCCTGTTGCATCATTGTTGAAAGAACCTCCATACATAACACAAACAAATATGACGACAACGGATCACCCTGACAAAGACCGCACCTGGGACGAAATGCTAAAGTTGGATTTCCATTGACCAAAACCTGATAAGAAACGGTCGAAACACACTGCTAAATCAAATGAATCCAATACGGAGGAAACCCATAAACTCGAAGCACCTGAAATAGGAAATCCCAATTAACTCGATCATAGGCCTTTTTCATGTTCAGCTTCAGAGCCGCATAAAAACGTTTCCTGGCATGTGAAGCATTCATAAAGGAAAGAATCTCATGAATAATCAAACTGTTATCCGACATAAGGCGACTAAGAACAAAGGCATTTTGAAAATCGGACACCAAAGAAGGTCAGGCGAATCCTGGCCGTGAGACATTTAGAAATGCATTTATACAAGACATTGCAAAGACCAATTGGTCGGAACTGAGGGACCAGTTCTGGCCGATCCACCTTAGTTAGAAACACCAAAAAAGTCCGATTCCATTCTTTCAAGAAATTACCATGAGCGAAAAAGTACTGAATCGCGCTGACCATAGAAGAACCCATCAACTCCCAATGAGTCTTGAAGAAGTCTGCTGAGAAACCATCCACTCTAGGGGTTTTATTATCATGAATACTGAATAGGACCGCCTGAATTTCTCGAGGTGAAAAAGGAACAAGCAGCTCCTGTTGTTGAATAGTTGACAAGCAAGGAAAATGTAAATCATCCCACCAAGAGGATTCCATCAACGGGGGGGGGGGGGGGGCTACTAGGTAAAAGGAAATGATCATGAACCGAATACGAGCTGGATCTGAAACCCAGGTGAAAATTGGTCCCGAAAAAGGAACATCAATCAAAACCCAATCAAGCCTCCATTAAATAAAATCTAGCTTACCAAGTATAGTATAATTGCCACCCACTTTATCCGAAAGAAATTCTACTTGATTGAAATCACTAAGAAAAATCATTTTTGGGAAGGAAGCAACTAAGTTGCCTATAGTATTCCAAAAATCCAATCTATCAACTAAATGCGGGGCACCATACACAAACATGATATATTTTATTTCATTACCCATCACCAATTTACAAAGGATTACATTTGGAGAAATATATACAAGCACCAAGTCTAACGATGCAAACCAAAATATAAACAAACCACCACTAAGTCCTAAAGCATCAACTTCCTAGCCACACTATCTACAGGGAGTAAAGTTTCCATGAGAAAAACCACATCTAAACCAAAAGAGTGAACTAATGACATGATATAAGGAATTTTAGAGGTGTCCACTTGCCCAAGACCCCTACAATTCCATGCCCCAATCTTCATCCCGAACCCGGTGGCCCTTAAGGGAAGCCACCGATCTCTCAGATGAAGCTGCTTGCAAGTCCGAACCAGAATCAGAACTGCCCCTGCGTTTCTTGTACGGCAGAAGGCATGGAAGACAACCAGAAGGTGGAGCGCGCCGCACTTGATCCTTAGGCACAAGAGGAGCCGAAGGTGCTACTACCGAGCTTGGCCTCTTAGCAGGACACTTGTTCACAACCCAATTCCACATCTTTCGGCCCTTGTCCAAAATATGAACAGATGTCGAAGCATTACCCTTGTCCGATTTGACCACCTAAGCATCAACACTAGACTCCTGCTGCTCGCCTAAAATGATATCCATCGGGACCGCCTCGTCAAACGAGGGCGAAGTAGAGTCAGAAGAAAGTAATTCTGGGCTAGGCGAGTTTGGAGCTTCCTGAACAGGGGAGGGAAAAACAAAAGCTTCCGATGAAGAATCCGCCACATAGCTTGAAAATTCGAACCGATCAGTTGGAAAAGAGCTGGAGAGCGAAGGAGAAGATGAATCCGAATTCGCTGCTGAACCCGCCCAATTACTAGGACCTGCTCCAAATGGGTCTTCAAACATTAGCCCAATTGGACCTAATGGAGGAGGTGAAAAATTCGGAATAATGGGCGAAATATTTGGGACAACTTGATCCAGAAAAGAGGGCCCACTTCCAAAATCAAACTAAGTTGAAACATCTTCGTTTGGCCGGCCCAAATGAGGAAAAAGAATTGAGCTATACTAATTAAAAGGTTGATGCGCTGGTGAACTAATGTGGGATGAGATAATACTAGAGTCCAAAGTCCAACGTAGGTGGGCTGGGCCCAAATGAGAGTGATCAGTACGATTATCTTGACCCATGTTGGGGTAATTTTGAACTTGATTTTGACCAGAAGAAAACAAATGTTGCCGCCCAGATGTGTTCCTGAACATGTGATGTACACATGGACGCTTATCACCACGTGGAGGAGAGTTACGCCAGCCACCCATGTAATGCCACTGACTATCACGAGCCCTTGCATAAACAATGCGTGCCTCATTTCTAGTTTGCTGATTAGGAACCTCTAATTGTTCATTAACCGAGCGATTAATTTCCGAATCACGCTGCCAAACTTCATTAACCGCACTCCGATAAGCACTAGGAAACAGAGGGGGACACAACCCCGAAATCTCACCAACACAACGACAAGAAGCAGATGAACCAGAACGGGAATCCGACGGAGAACGGGGAAAGCCACCCCCATCACTATCATAATCCAAAGGATGCGAATCCGCCGGAAATTCAGAAGGATCATTTTGATCATGAAAGCCAAACCAAAGCTCCGTAGTCCATAACGAAGGAGAAGGAAAAATGCCCCGAATAGCACTTGAATATAAATTAGTATCGGTAGGACCATATAACACACGAGCGCCGCTTTCGTAAAGCGGCGTTCCAAGTGAAAAGCAATAATAGCATCAGATTTTTGACACGAGTTCTGACCGTGTCCGACAAAACCACACTTTTTGCAAAATCTAATTATACCTTCGTATTTAAAACAAACCCACGTGACTCACTTTTCACGTGTTGGAAAATAACAACCCGCAATCAATGGCAAAGACAAATCCACTAGAATTCTAACGCGAGGACAAGGAATTGGAAACTGACCATTGCCTTCATCGACCATAGTAATTTCACCGACATGAAAGAGAACCGCACCCGCAACAGTCAGAGTAGAGTAGCGGATAGGAAGTCCTTGAACACCGACCCACATATTCATTGGATGCAAATTCATGGTGTGCGGCACTGAGTAATCACGAAGCCTTTGGAGAACAACCAAACTACCCAACCTCGCGAATCAAGTTCATCTGCATCCTCCTCCGAGCCACAACAAAACACCAAGTCTTGGTCTTAAGGAAAGACTCGAACTGGTGCACGAAGATGCCAGAACCGCAAAACTAGTCTTTGAAACAAGTCTAAAGTAAAGTCACGATCATCCCAAACACGCCCTATAACACAACAGTCCCAGTGTATAGACTTGTCCTCATCCATAGGTGGAAGATTACTAAATTCCTCACCTACGATGTGAGGATAGACAAAAGTGTGAGGTTGAATATACTGCGGCATGACTATGAACTTAGTTGAACAAACAGTGAAAGAGATAGAAAGCAAAATAAAGTAGGCTAAACTCGAAAAGAAAATAGAGAGGATTCTCTCACTAAAGGTCTTTCTCTCGCTAGAGATTTTTTACTATATAAGCGGATAACTTAATTCATTTACACCAATTTTTGACAATCAGTAATCATGGCCCAGATGCATACTGCCTAACTAGAAAAATTAAATACTCCTGGCAACCGATCTTCCAAGATTGGTGCTAATTATTGTGATTCTCTTCAGAGTCTGAATCTGAAAATTCCATTTGATAAGCATCTTTCGGTTCCACATCAGTTATTGAAGGAGGAATTTCTCCGGTTACACTGTTCCTTCTCCGATTTCTCCACTCTTTAGGGATCTTTTTCTGTCAAAAAGAGTGGAAGATTATTATAAATCGAACCATAAATTCATAGCAACATGAGCAGACTTGTCCGAATGCTCATCACACCAGCTCTTCACAACCATTAAGTGTACAAAGAAAAACACACAACACAATAGCAGAATGTAGTAGTAATGCTTCAATTCGGACCAGTATGCTAAACAAAAGTAGGTAGTTGGATTAAAACAACGAGATGAATAGACTGTCTGCTAAATGCAACATAATAGGCTAGCTAATACCCTTGTTCTGTTCTCCAATAAGTAGCAAAGAATGAAATGGAACTTCGAGGAAAGGGAAGAACATTTCAGACATAATTAATAACGAAAACAACTATTCGCATAAGTTAACAATACTGTTAAATTAGGCACTAGTTTTTTTTTTTTTTTTTTGGTGTTCCACCCGGTTCACCCTTTGGGCTAATCCGGATTCGAGGATCAGTTCTAGGTGGTTAGGTTCCAGTCCCCTCCCAATTGTTACTGCGGGGGATCGAACACGCGTCCTCCCTACCAAGTGTAGCCCCAATCACCAATATACCAACAGCTAATTGGTAGGCACTAGTTTTTTTTAAGTCATGCTGAATGTCGTTATGATTAACTATTCTGTACCTTGTCAAAGATTCAAAAACAGAGATCATATCTGCTGGCTGCTGCAATCATTCCTAAGCATTATAAATATAACTAGGGCTTTGTTGTTATGAATATAACTAGGGTAGCATCCCAAAAGACCTCTCACCTTGGTATGGGCTTGTTGCCACTGACTTGAGTCACTTGATGGAGTTGGCTGACTGCGATGGAGCCATATTCCACCAAATGACAATAATGCTCCAAGAAGTAACAATGGACCAATCCTTGGATCACCAGAAAGATCACGACACCAAGCTATGACTCTCCAAAGTTTATGTTTCATTCCATTTCTAGTGGAAAGAAATTTTTCACCACTAACGAACCAAAGGGGATCAGAGTTCTCGGGAACAAGCTCAGGTGTGTTTGTTCTCTGACAATTAAGATATGGCATTCAATCAGCAAAACAAAAATGGAAAAAAAATAAATTACAAAGCAAGAAATCGTCAGAGCATTGAGCCTGTTACAAATAAATAATAACACCATGACTGAGAGAACAAAATTTCTAAACATGTCAACATGCATAGAATCATGTAAATACGCATGCCTGTGCACTATACAAATGTCCAAATGCACCAAACAACACTATTACAAAGGACAAAAACTTTACTTACATAGAAAGGAAGTTTTGCAGAGTCACCATCTTTGATATTCTTCGAAATCCATTCAATAATCTGCAGTTAGATACAATAATAAGTATGTGCTGAAAACCATTGTTCAGAAGAAAAAGGATGGAATTAACGGCTCTAATGCCTAGTAAAGATAGTTCTAGGACAATTAAACTGCTGAAATTAAAACTTATGAGCCAGACAAATTGACCTGTAAAGGCTCAGCAGAGCCATTGTATCGTGCTACCAGTTGAGATACAGGATCTACATCATCTTTAAGACTGTCCAGTAAACTTGAGGGGGATCTTTTATCCTTAGGATCTTCAACGGAATCATTTCTCATGTAACGCACCATAACAACCTGAGGAGCATCTTCAATGCCTCTTCTTGGACCACAACATTCCAAGCTAAGCTCACCACCAATGTAGAACATGCACAAATTCTAAGATCAAGAAATCACAATAAGCATAATTATAACTTTTTTAGAAAAAGAAATATATGCAGTGACATCAAATATTGTAAAAATAATACAAAAGGAAACATTAAGCATAACTATACTACTTCCTCTATTTCTTTCTAGTTGCATCACGTTAAAAATTGCAGGCTCCTAGGCAATCAATTTTTGGAGATGAGAGAGATGGAGAGAAAGAAAAAAGTACTCGTGATAGGAGAGAGATAGAGAGAGTATTAATTAAATAGGAAAGTGATGCATCTAAATCAAAACTTTCTTTTTAAAAAATGATGAATCTAAAAAACGGAGGAAGTATTATTTTAATTTCATGCAGTGAAGATATATTTTAAAATCATGCATAGGTACCTGTATATACAAGGCCAAAGGCTTATTATGATTGAAACTGATGAGTAACGGCAACATTGTCAAGTCAGACTTGAGTGTGACGGAAAAATAAATAGATATTCGCAGCTGTTGGCACACGTGCCCATTTTGACTGATGCACTATTATAATCAGAGGGAGTATTCCCTTAATGGTTAAAGCTTGAATTTTAAGCTTCCTTTATGCTCTACTTTTTTGCAGGATTCGGTCGACAATAGCTTATTATATCAATTAGACTGTTACAAGTGGTAGAAAAAAGTGATTGCTCTACAGCAAGGACTACACTTAACTGAATGAATGTCTGACAGACAAGGGCTTGTTGCAAAAAAGATATAATTTCAAACTAATATTTTAAATGACCGCTATGAATGGTCCATAGAGCTTCCATAATCATAATTAATCGGTCAGATCTAGTGGGTGTACAACTATAAACCCGTCACTATCAACTGAAGGTGACACATAGTAAAATGTATCATATACCAATCGAAGCCCCCCTCCCCACAAAAATCAATAATTAAGTATTAAAATCATAGCATACAATCATAGTGAAACCTTGATTGTGGCACTGATAATATATGCAGTATCGTTCCCAAAACCTAATCACAAAGGACTAAGGGAGGTTATCATACAACTGGACTTGTAAACTATAAGTTGGTAGCTGAACAAACAATTAGTGGAGAAAGTGAAGAGATACGAACCTTTTGTACCTCTCCATCCATCCAAGTTAAAGTTAATCGCTTGTCTTTAAGTGCAATGGCTGCATGTGCTGCCAACTCGTTGGAATGGGGTGCAACATCCTGATAGCTCTTTTCTGATAAAGTTTGTTGGGCCCTGCGCAGAACCTAAAGCCTCAAGATAATTCAACAGTCGAAGTCAGGATAAAAAAAAAGGAAAAAAAAAAGGAAAAAAAAAAAAAAAAACAATCAGCTTTATCAATTGAGAGTGCACAAACATAAGTCATGAAACATCGTTTATAGGAGAGTCATGGAGAAGTCTATTATAGAAGTCTGTTGGACAAGTTCACATTTCACAATTATATAGATATACAACTCAAATCAAACAAATTGTAGGATTCCATTAAGACAGGAAAACACATTTTAAAATACTGTGGTCTGTGGATTTACTATTAGGACAACACAGATTCTATAAAGACAACAAAAGTCTTGCTAGCAGCATTCAGATAACATTAATTCTTGGCTTAAATCATGCTTCTCTTTGAAAATCTATACTTTTGTTAATTTTCTCTGTTATCTGTCGCTCTCAGGAAATATACCAGTCTCCCTGCAAAAATTGAAAAGCCTATTAAACTAGTAAGATCCTCTTAATTCCGATCTTGACAATTCTCTTCAAATGGAAATTCCAAGTGACAGAATGAGAGAAGCCATTCCGCACCAAGAAATTAAATAGGCCTATACAGATTTGAAACAAGAATTTATGTGCTTGTTTTCAGCCCAAGCCTTCTTGCATAACAAGTCCCCCACTCCACCCCCACCCCCCACCCCCCACCCCCCCCCCCCCCCCAAAAAAAAAAAAAGAAAAAACCTAATAAAAAAATTGTACCTTGGAGTTCATCGTTTCACCATCATTTCATTTATCACAATGTATTTGGTCAAAAATATATTTGATTACGATGGTTAATTTTCCAAAACAAATTTAGAAACATTGGTTACAAAAAATTTCTTTCATTTGGTAAAAATCGTTGCAAATAGCACGAATCCCATTTTACATTACAATTTAGAGTTTAACAAAGTTTGAAGCGTCTTTAGACATATGTACATTGATTAGAGAATAAAAACCATTCATGAAGTACATCCTTTCATTTTACAGGAAACTGTATATATTGCGAAGTGGACAACTCACCTCACGCATTTCATTCATTTCTGGGCTTGGCCTTCCAATAACGACGACACAATACCAAATCGTAGTACTTGTCCCTGCTCGGGAATAGCCACGTGAATCGCAACCCAACTCCACTGATGTCATGGTCCTCAATTGTGGAAGCTCTAGAAACATAAAATATTCAGCATCAGGATACCTCATATTACAGCACCTAGAAGAATATTCTTTCAAGTATACAAAATTCACAGCATATATCAGAAACGAAGCAGTGTAATTCTTATTGGAAAGATATTGCAGATTTATTGCATGATTAGCAAACAGAATCTGATTATTGGTAAATCAACAAATGAAGTATTGAATATATAGATTCTATATGTAGTTCAATCATGAGCTTAGAGAGATTGGAATTAAGACAAAAAAGGGGAAATACAACTTTAAACAACAATGTAGACACCTCCTCCGACAAGCGTGTTGCTATGGCTAAACAACTTATGGACAAGCCACTCATAAAAATTATTATAACTACATACACCACCACCAAAACCTAAAAGAATGAAAAAGGAAAATAAACCCTGAACAGGAGCATTACCGTGCAGTCTATTATCTTCCATTACATCCACAAACCATGAACTGTTTACAGCCCCTGCATGATGATAAGAATGAAGAGAAATGATGATAAAAGAAACTGTTTGAAAACTAATAATCAAATAACAGATATGAGACAGCAGTAGAAATTGGTATATACCATATAACACCAAAGGTTTAGTGCCTGGATCCCTCAAAAAGACAGTGGCCGGAGCTGATTCCACATCATATCTGTAACCACCAATAACAATTAAAAAAAAATTCTAAGATTAAGATAGAAATAACTGAAACACAGTATAGCTGCAGCATCAGATTGGCACCATTATATAGAGTATAAATTGGTAACGCGAGAGTGTCCTAAGTGCAGTATAAATGAGATTTCTCTATAAATGCAATATATTATTACCTATCTCTTAAATCAGCCCATTAGCAGATATGTGGCTAATGAAAGAAGAGATTATTGTTCAGAAAGGTTATAACAATGCATAAGACATTAAAAAAGCCACTTTTGTGTAATATGCCCAAGATTCTCAGAAAATGCAGACTTGGACTGGTATTATACAGTTAATAATACACCCATCATAGAAGCAGCTAAACAAGCATTTTAGATTTGGGTATGCGAATATTACTCCCTTAGGCTAAGTTTAGTTCACCTTATTTTTGCTAATCTGATCAGAAATTATTTTTTCTGATCGGAATTTATTTTTCTGATAATATACAATCAGATTTGAATTCCTTATTTGACTAAACTTGTACCTTAAAGGATAAAATATATCAAATGAGATCTTATTTTCCAAATATGTACTTTTCATAATTTTTTCAAAAAACTGCTTGACAGTTGACATCTCTCCTCAATCCCAAAGAATTTTTCAATAAATGGGCAATTACACAAGTTACACACTAACCACAAATCTAGAGCTCAGTACTGACCAAAGAAGTAAAAATATAGCAAACTCTGCAAAGTAGAGGCTTCAGTCATATAAACAATTAGCCTTAAACTGTACAACATAAGCACATACATAGATGACCAATAGGAAAATTCCTCTTCCCTCCAAAGAACACATGCAAAGGAAGCATAATCCTGATAATTCCTGGCAGTTTGACGAATGAATGGTGTTGCACGCATCCCTGTGTCCGAGAAGAACATGACTTTTACCTGTGAACCAAAAACAATATGCAAAATAAGTCCAAATTAAGCCATCAATCATGTTCATATTTAACTAGTATAATTACTCAAAGATCAGAGCACAAAGTACAAGTATCCAATAATCTACAAGGATCAACAAGAAGCATGACGCATATAGAACAATATTTTAGCAGACCATATGCAAGCAGCCTCCATAATGGAAGGCCTTACCTACAAACTCAGGAAAGCATGCTCACATTAGAATTATATTATGATTTAAGATGTCTTTTTAGATCCAATCATACATATAATAAAAATAAATAAATAAAAGAAAAAAGGAAAAGAGCATACCTTATTATAACTACTCTTAGCCAGAAATCTTGGTCCCTAAAAATAGGAGAAATAAATGGTAAGAATACAACTGTTCATGTACATAATAAAAGTAACTAGAAAAAAATACTACTCGTAACATTTACTAGTACAAATACATATCACTGAAAAACAAAACAACCTCATTTTATACAAACATAAATACAGTGTGTACAAGCTTAATACCAATCCGATCTCCAAAAGGTTCAGACAACATAGGGAGATTGGATGCAAATGATTTTCAAAGCCAAAAACTGGGTCGTTTAATTTTCTAGACTTTTCAGTTATCATGAAGGCAAAGATGCAAAAGTTCAATCCCTTTACCCATTGGTAAGATCCTCTTCCGAGACATTGGAGTAATGTCGATAATGATGTAAAATAAATACTACTAAAACAAGAGTTGCCAACACTCAAATGTCATATAAATTAGACCTCTGCTTTGAAAGTTTTTGACAACTTCTATTGTTGTCCATTTCAGAAAGTTGTTAACACTTTTATTATATTTCATTTAAAAAAATAAAATAAAAATAAAAAACCCAGTTACCACCATACCCTTCTAGCCCCACAATACTTACACATATGACATATGCACTCACTCTCTCCCTCTCTCTCTTACTTTATCCACCTTTATCTTACACCCATCCACCTTTTTCCACATACTCTCTTACTTAATCTACCTTTTTCTTCACCCATTTATCACATCAACACTCTCTCCAATTGCCATAATTTGCGAGCAAACAGTAAATGTCAAGAAAGTTCATAATGTATGTAGTATGCGTTTGGATATGAACGTTTGAGCTCTAAACACCTTTCAAATTAAGTTGTACAGAAAATTTTTAAAAAACTCAAGGATGAAGCTTCAGAAAACAGATTAGAAGTATTTTTCAGAATTGGATAATGGAAGTTAAGAAGGGAATCTAAGGAGAGGAGGGAAAGGGGGTTCCTTTCAAGAATCTGAAGTGCTTGGATTCCTATAATCCCTTTTCGAACTATTTCTTATGACGATTCATGTTAGCCAACCCACATCATTTTTGGACTAAGGCTTGGTTGTGGTTGTTGTTGTAGTAAGTGAGGCATCAAGACAAACACAATACAAGAGAGAATGATTGAGACCTTCCTAGGACTCAAGGCACTAAAAAAACGTTAAAAAAATTAATAATAAATAAAATAAAACTTCTTCAGTCACTCAATGAAAAAGCATATATGCGAATTTATGTCCTTTTATGCACCATTATCTAATTGTTTTTTTAAAGGTACACATATCATACTGTACTAACAGATCCATATCACAGGGGCAGAAGATGGAAGGGCACACAAATTGAATCCGTATCACATGGGCAGAAATGGAAGTGTACGCCACACCTTTCCACTTACTGACTCTCATGTTTAATTTTTTGTAGGCACTGTAGATGCATATCAGATATCACATCCTTTTCTTTTTTTTTTAATCAGTGAACTCTTGGCCGATGGACAATGATAGGTATTTAGTATCAAGTTGGAAATCTTTTTAGGTGGTATACCAGTTAAAAAAAAATAAAAAATTTAAAAAACTAACACAAGAAGCCGTCAAACATCTAATTACAATGAAAAAAGATCAACATACCAATGTGTCCTTTGTGTAATAAGGAATGCGAGGTAACTTCAGTATCATTACTGCAAACCAATCTGTAACTGCATCAACCGAGAGATCTCCTTCATACCTACACAAACATTAAGCTCATGATCCAATGGCAAAATATTACAAATGCTAGGCATATAACTCCAACAGAAAATTAACAGCACTTGAATAAGAAAGCTTCATAACAACAGAGCACTCCTTTTATTTGTCAAACATACATGACTCAGAGCTTACCTAATAAGACAGCTGGAACTTTTACACCCTTGAGGAAATGCAATCAAAGAAGGAAGACCTGTAAACAAAATAGGTAAGAGCCAAGAAGAAACACATAGATGCTTGAGAGTTCAAAGTATGACTAACAAGCAATATGTGAAGATAATGGAATATAATCCTGATAGAACCCCTAAAAATAGCAAAACGAAACTAAATATTAGGCTGAGGCTTGATAACTAGTACAATGGCTAAGTGCCCCCACCATAGTGGAGTAGAAGCTGCAAACATTTTGGTACCTTCTCCACAACATGAGTCAGCTTGATGTTAATGTGACATGTCTATCGCATAAAAATTTAGAGCATATCCAATACAGCTAATTTCAAACACAAACCATAACTTAACGAGATTATTGTTTACCATTTCGGAAGAAAAGTTGCCCTGTTGTTTTCTTCTCTGCAAGTTGAGAGGCAAGTTTGATTTCCCCAAGCTCCACTACACCAGTATCAGCAATCTCACCCAGCAAAGTAGCTGCTCATAATGTATGGAGTCAAAAATTAACAACGCAACTGCTTTTAAGTATAAATAAAAAGAGTAATGTCATGAAGACATACTGCATCAATTGCAAACAATCAGACAACAGTTTCAAACACATCAGACAAGGAGCATGTGGAAAAAATACTGCACATTTAGCCAAAAATGAGATATGAACCCAAATTTGAATGCCAGGAATTTTGCTAATTGTACGGCCAGCTTACTAAAGGCAGAGTTCTTCAACAACACAACTTTGCAGACATGGAAAACAATAACCAGCATTCAAACTAACATCGAGGTGGCAAATTTGCCAAGCCAAAAAGATGTCCATAAATTAAAATTGAGAAAGTTTTTGTGTTATTATTCATGTGCATAAGTGATGTGTCAAATGCATGATGTAAACAAAAAATTTGAAGAAGCTCCCATTTTAACAAGATTAATTGTCTGTTGCATCTTGCAAGTGATCAAAGGAGCTGAAACAATGGTTCTTCTTTCTTGAACAAAGTATTCTCTACTTACTGTTGACAACCTGACACCGAAATTTTGTTAACTTTTAGGTGTCAAATAGATGTAAATAAGGAGATAATATCAAAAAAAAAATATAAGATTATCCTTCGAATCTCGCAAATTATATTATAATTTTTCTTCTCCATTCTACGACTCTCTAAATAAAGAGGGTCGTTTCAGGAGGCTTAGATGGAATAAGTCACAAAGACCCCATCTCCTACGTACTACCAAACATTGTAGGTACATAGTATGGATTAAGCAGATAAGGCCCCATACTATAAACACATCAAAACCCTAACCCTTTGAGAGAGGAATCAAGAGATCTACGAGAATTGTAACCCACAAATTATCATTAAAATATTGTTTCTGTATATTTTCTTCCCTCTGTATTTGCATATAGCAGGTTTGAATTTTTATGGTTTACACTTACATCTCTTGTCTTCTATTTTATATATTTTAAAGTAACCTTATTCCTAAACAATCAATGCAATGATCTAAGTCAGGAAAATTTAATTCCACTCTCACATAAATATGATTGCATATCATAATATGTTCAGCTTCTTCCCTATGAATCAGAGCTTCAAAACAACAATTAAGGCCTGAAATTATGGCCAAACGATTGCAAATAAGACAAGAATCATTATTAGAATGTTTGCAAAACACATCTTCAAACTAACAAACCTCTCGATCTAATGCTTAGAAAACATAGGATATCCAAACAAGTCCGTAATATTGGGTGCTTATCCTAAATTGTAATCATTACATTAAGACCTTTCCTATCCACGTTGTGATTGGGATAACAAGCATCAAACATAGCAGTCAAAGGGAGAGAAAACAAAAAAAACCAACAGCCTGAGTGAATTTAGTGCAAAACCCTGTTGAGTTTAACAAAAAAATCATTTCATACTTGAAATGTGATATGTCTATTTTATATAGTGATTTACCCCCATCCCTTGGTCATATTTAGGAGTATTTTTAGCTCTACGGAGCTATTTTTATTACTAATATGCGTCTTCTAGTGTTTTCGTAGCTTAAGTATTGTTTTATAGGAAATTGCGGATTTAGAGCATTTCCCGGAGTTATTTGAGCCACTTCTATCATTGGATGTGGAGCGCACTCATGTGACCATTTTCCGTAGCCCAAGGACCGTGTTAGAGTGATCAAACCGACGATTAAGGGCTCGACAAAGAAGAAAAAACCAAACCAAGGCAATGGACCAGAGTTGAAAAGATCCAAGGAGGAAAAGCTCGGATTGGGCCATGCAAGGAGCCCAATCGAGGAGTCCAAGCACATGCCTGGTGCACTCGCCCCAGGAGAGAAAGAGAAGTGTTGTTGCCAGGAGGCGCACGCGGCCGGGCGCATGTTTCTGAAAGCGATTAGGAGCATTTTTTTACTTTCTTTTGTTTAGGATTTTCTGGCTTTAATATAAATACTTTTTTGTTAAGTACGTTTAGGACGTCATTCATGAATTAAATTCCAGATTTTAGAGTTTAAGATTTCTTAGCAATTTGTTCTCTCAAGATTCTTTGGTTTTTATGCAATTCATGATTTCCGTTTATTTTGGTAATGATTTTCTTCCCTTTTATTTCTAGTAATTTTATTGCTTTGATTAATTATGTCTTGTTTAATTGCTTTGTTTAGTTTATATTTAATTATACGTGAGTAGTTTATTTCCTAGGGTTCTTGGGGATCCGTAAATAATATGAAGGAATGATTTATTATTGTTGATTGTTGGTATTTGAGTTAATTTCCTATTGATCGATTTAATGCTATGCAATTAAATTAGGCCTGGTTTAATTGGTTTAATTGTATGAGTTATGCAATATTGATTCGAGATTCGACAGATGAGAATTGATGTTTAGGCTTAGTTCAATAGGTAGGTTAATTTATAAATGGTTAAGTCAAGATTCGAGAGATGTGATTTAATACCGCTAGATTAATTCTATGATTGTAATACGTAGCGAAAGCCCTTTATAATCAGATAAATTCATGCATTGATAATCATCCCGAAATATTATTTATTGGTGAACCTATGCCCTAAGCTTTATTATATTGATTTTATTCCCTTTATTTTACATGCTTATTTAATTAGTTCCCTTAAATTCATACTTGTTACTTGATAATTTAGATTATAATAATTATTTAGGAATAGATGAACACTGTTTCCCTGTAGATTCGACCCTACTTCCCTATCTGCTTTAGTTAGAGGACTTAGGTATTTCTTTTAATTAGGTGATACGACTAGATACTGTCAAAATGATGACTTAATTTCTGAACCAAAGCAAGTAAAATAGTTTTTCTAGGTCAAATATCAAAACTATGGGAATGTTAAAAGGCCCCAGAGGGGTGTTAATCAAGTTCAAAATTTGGCTATAATAAAAAAGAAGCATTCACTAAGCTATTGTGAAACATTGCTTCTACAGACTCAAGAAAATTCAAATGTCACTCACCGTTCAAAATTCACTCCAATCCCCCTAACAATGAATAGCCTCAAGATAAGAAAATTTAACCTTTAACTTGAGCAAGCTTTACCCTCAAAGAATCTGCTGGTTTCTTTCTTTTCAGGTACACAACAACAAAAGGCCAACAGAACCATCTCCGCATCCCACCATTAGCTATCCCACCCAAGCCAAGAAAAAACCAACTCAACCAAAACAATGCTATATGACAATGGGATGTAACCCTAGGGCAAATGAGTACTAGGTGATCAATGCGACTCTTACAGTCTTATCTCTTACTTTTCTTCATATAAGTGTCAAGCCATCAATGCTTGCACAAATCAAATCTCTTTTTAAATTTATATCCATTCAGCATCTTTTTCTTAACTAAAGGCCCATCCAAAAAAGGTAACAGCATGTTTAGGATGAGCATTTATCTTCCAAATAGCAAGAAACTCGAAAAAAAAAAATCCATCAAAAAAAAGTTAAGAAAAGACTTGACAAAACTTCCACCAAAAAATTCGCAGTGGGATCAACCTCAATGAACAGTAGTACTTCCAATAGGGAACTACCCCCAGTGGAAATGCCGGAAAGAGTTTACATCAACTCGCCTGATATGGTCCAAACCTTAACTTCCACTAGAAACATTCCTAATGCAAAATATAACAATATTGCAACATAATATATGTCCATCAAGAACGACAAAGCAAAAAGGAAGCCTAGCACTATATAAACTAACATTTACGGCACACTAATTATTGCTTTCGTTCGCTTTAAATATGACAAAATCAAAGACAATAATCATGCTACATGAAATTTGACAAACCGAAAGTAGCACAGCAGTAGGAAGGCATGAGATTTGTAATGTGGAATGAAAGAGAATGGTAACCTAAAGTTACTAAGAGAGTGATAACCTAAAGTTATCAAAGAGAGAAATAGCCTAAAGCTATTAACCTATCATTCTGTATTTAATAATATTAGGCTAAGTTGTCTTCACCTTACTTTCAAATTTTCAAGACGTACTACTTATTCTTGTTAAAATCAAACCACCTCAGACCTGAAACAGTGAGAACAGAACAGACTTTATTTCTATCTACTTATTACAAATAATTTTGAAGTGAGTATTAGATCATTGGCAAATACACATTAATAAGATTCTAACAAGACCCCACGTGATAATGTGTTCTTAGAACTAAACATCAATCATATAATAGGCCAGATATAAATCCAAATAAGTTCAGACTAGAACATTATCTTCTAGGTGAAAGGAAAAAAAAAAGATGTACATTTACAGGCAAAGATTAAAGCAATATCTAACCACATTTACAGGCTAGAGGCTTTATTTATTTACTTTTAAACAATAGCAGTATATAGCAACTTAGCAGTTCAAAGATCTAAACATATTTTGTATAGAAATTATGACAGTAAATTTAAAACTATACTGCCTAAAGAAAACCCCTTTTTCTTCTTTTCTGTAGGCATGGATGGTGAGCAATATAAGAAAATTAGAGTAACTCAAATATTTACATCAAAAATTGATTTATTTTAAAAGTCAGCATCAAAGAGGAAAGTGAACATTTTCTAATGTATCAAATGGAAAGTTTACCAATTTTCTTCCATTTGCTTGAAAATTGTTTGCATAAATTGCTCCCATTTGAATATACCTGAACATAAACTAATATTCTGTCAGTAAAATCATGGAATTACACCAGTAATATAATTTTCTTACACTGTATAACAGAATGGATAATGGAGCAGATAGAGTCATCATTGACAATATTTCAGCTTTGTGTTACAAAATTATCATGGACTGAATGGCCCAATAAGCTTCCTCTGCTTGATAATTGCAGAGAAGTTGTTGACAGTCAATGCAGGGACAAGGTCAGCATCAATCTAAATTCCGTACAACAAGTAGGTAGGATTGTAGGAACGTCATTCAGGCACTTGAGTATTATTTACAATTACAATTATTGTCAAGAATTTATAGGCAATTTTATTAGACTGCATATATGACATATATGATAATACTCCCCTTGAGTGAGTCAGGAGTCAGGACAATGCAGATGGAGGCTAAAAGAAAGTAGGGCAAGTAAATGTTTGGTTCCCATCAGTAAAAGTACAAGAGATAAGGCACGCCAGGCTACCAGCATACAGGCAATCACCTGCATTAACCAAGGCCTCTCCCCTACAATTGACTGGATATCACCAGAAGTAATGGATTCAAAATCAATATCATGAGAGTCTGCATAACATAATCATCATTGCAGTCAGTATTCCATATTCCCTATATGGCATATACAACAGGAAGGCGAAGGAGAGAGTGAGAGACACAACTAACCTGTGGAACCAACAAGTAAAGGAAGGTTCACTGAGGAGTACACCTTATTAGAATTCAGCTGCAAAATGTTTTCCAGAACATGCTACAGCCAGAGATAGTTTTAGTGTAAGAAGAAAAACAATGATAAATCCAAAGGATATGTATACAAATACAGGATACCTACTTGATGCTCATCAATGCTAAATAGGTCATAGTCTCTCTTCCATAATGGATCAGTCAGCAACTCATAAGCATATCGAATCTGCAAGAAAAGAACGCATACAATGAGAAAAGCATCATACCATTGCTCGGGTTTTGTTTTAAAGAACAAAGACAGATTAAGCACAAATGCACTCATTCGACCAATAGAAGAAACCTTCTCTGGCTGACAACCATAGACAGCAGATCTTAAAAACTTATTGTCCCACTAAATAGGTTGTTAATTTCTCTTCTACTTTGCAGAGTTCCAGGACCTTAGACCACTGCCATTCATGAGAAAAGGGGGGGGGGGGGGGGGGGGGGGGCTCTACCAATTATCTGACTCCTCTCACCTAATTTCCTCATTGTCTTTTTGGTGATTATTTTTCCCTTCCACTCATGGGCAAATATATATATATAGGGAAAGGCTCACGTGAGAACCCCTTCTTTATGTGAAAACACTTTATGTTCTAAATTTTTAATCGTATGTTCGAAATTTTAAATTTGATGTTCTAAACTTTTCCCAGGTGATCCAAATTAAATCAGATGTTCTAAATTAGTACTCACATGTTCTAAACCATAGTTAAGTTAGATGTTATAAAAATTAAATGACTTATTTCAAAATTTTAACTTATATGTTCTAAATTTTAAAACGTGTGTTTTGAGATTTTTAGTTATATGTTCTATATTTGAAAGCATATGTTCCAATTTTACTATGTTCTAAATTTTTACTCACATTTTCTATATTTTATACGAAGTGTTCTAAATTTTTTATTTACAAGTTCTAAATTGATAAATCAAATGTTCTAAATTTTACTCATATGTTTCATAAAACAGATTTTTTTAATTTTACTCACATGTTCTAATTCTTAAATCAGATGTTCTAAATTATTACTCACAGAGATGTTCTAAATTATTACTCATATGTTCTAAATTTAAATTGGAGTCACATGTTCTAAATTTTTACTCGTATGTTCTAAATTTTTACTCATATGTTCTAAATTATAGATCAGTTTTTGAATTCTCACATATGGACCTATTCTCACCGGATCCCTCCCCTATATATATATATATATATATATATATATAATATCCTACTTTTCACTATACCCACCATAGTTTCTCACTCCTACAAATTAACCTTAATCTATTTATTAATTTCAACAAAAGTAATAAAAATTTCAATACCAGCACTAATAATACTCCCTCTATTTCACAATGATCTTCCATTTACATATATCGATGCAAATCTTTGACCATAAATATCTTTAATCTCACACTAGCAAAAATTTTAAAAGTTGGATATTAATAATGTACTCACCAAGACAAATCAAACTAGACCTCATATAGAGAGAAAATTTTAAAAGTTGGATATTAATAATGTTCTTATATAGAGAGAGAAAATTAGAAGATTTCCTCTCATTTTTAATAGTCAAAAGATTCCAAATGGGAATATCATTGTGTTACGGAGGGAGTGCTAATAGTAGTAAAATAAGTTACTACCTCTGCTTCACATTAGTTGCAACTTTTGGGTATTATTTATAAGACATAAAAAATTCCAAAGTTGCAACAAATATGAAATGGAGGTAGTATTCACTATTCTACTAATAATAATTACAATAGCAATAATAATTTGGTGTGGAGTAGTAGATAACGGAGAAAAAGAATTACGTAGAGAATAAGTGATTTTCGAAAGTATGTCAAAATATAGCAAAATGAGAGTATTTATAGAGAGAAAATAAATTTATGGCCGATGGTAATTTCTTTTTTTAAGAAAAAATTTTAGTAACTCAAATTAGCCAAGTAAAATTTGAAAGTAACATTTTAAAGCCAAAAAATTATGGGACATGTGGTGCAGCCTCAGTGGCCATGCTGACGCACCCCGTAAGCATGCGTTAATTGTTTTCTATTTCTTTTTTGCTTTTTCCAAACTTGCATGGATCCCCTTCCTTCTGCACTGTAGCAAAGGAAATTTCCTCACACCATGAGAAAATCTCCATTTACTCATGAAAATGCAAATTGACCATGAGTATGGGAGTATTTTTTTTTTTTTAATCACTTATTTCTCCTCATGGGCTAAAAACTACCCATGAGTGAGAGTGCTCCTAGGAAGCCAATTATGATTCCCCATGTAAAATTGTAGTTCTATTAACAGCATAAAGAAAGGGGCCAAACAGCATAAGTTGATAAGTTACCTCCTCAAATTGTCTCTACTAACACCCCCAATAGAAAAATAAATAAATTACACAAAGCTTTGCATTAATAAGATTAGTTCTACATGCTCTCCAAAACCTCTTTTTAAGTCATTTTTAACAGCCTCGATACAAATCATCTTTGACCTCCCTCGACTTCTTTGGAAATCCCTATCATCCCAACCTCCAACATACTCACTGGCACATCATCCGGTCGAAATCTCACATGCTCATACTCTAGCTAACTTTCCGAATATCCAAATTCCTGCTCTATCCCTAAAGGTATTTCCCAAACATCAATCTTAACATAAACATGTCTACCAGACCCATCTTAATATGTTCCTTGTTTAATGCCTAAAAAGCTACCTATGTAATAATGCAAATATGATTGTCGATTGATAGATTTCTTTTAACCTTAAACACATGCTACAATCGCACAATAAACGTGGCATTGCTTTCTCCATTTGAACCACCTATATTTGAATTTAAGAGTTACTCCTAAGTCTATACTTCTAATTATTTGTCTCATATACTTAAAACCTTCACTAATGAACAACTCCTTACCATCTGATGTCACAACATCTTTGCTCCACCGCCTCCCAATACTAAAATGGCACTTCACGTAGTCACTTTTACTACGGATTGATATAAACCCTTCGGATTCTAACATTTATCTCCATTGCTCAAACTTAGCATTAATTTTATAATGTCCAACAAAACAAAATCATACGCAAATAACAAACACCACAGTATCTCATCTTGGATTAACAGTGTTACTCCATACAAAACTGTTGCAAAGAGGAAAGGGCTTATAGCATATCCTACGTACTCCTCTACAAGTCTTTTAACATTTGTTCTCACATCAAAGTCCAAATCCTTAAGCAGTTTAAAGTAATGTATAACTCTCCTCCAATCCTTTCATCCTTGCAAATTAAAAACTACTGCCACAGTTATCCAATTAGGTGAATTGGCATTATTTCTCATATCCTTTCAGCTTGACAAGTTTATCCCTATTCTCATAGTTCCCCATCTGGAAAGAAACATCAGCTTCAACCAGGGTGCCTTAGCAATTGGCATTTTAATATAGGTAACTTAAAATGAAGAAACCAATTAAAAACAGGTATCATGAATTTGAATTTGACTTAGAAAAAGTTAAATGAGGACAGAGGGAAAATATAGCACAACACTTCAGGAAGCACTAATTAACAAATAACATAAAGCAAGGCAAGTGAAGTGAAGTGAAGACATAATAACCTTGATAAAATCATTAGTTGTGGGGGGTTTGGCACCTGATTTCCTGAAAATTACCAATATGATCGAATAAAATTAAAACCTGAATTCCTAAAATTACTAAAAAGTATGAAAAAAATTATAAAAATAACATTTTATATAGCACAACAATTGCAAGGGCCAGGTGAAAGGTAAAGAAAGTTTCTATAAGAGCACTTGCAATGGGAGTACTTACCCTCATTTTTCCTCAATTTGGGAGGATACTTCCATTGTGGGTAATTTGGCCAAAGTACTCCATATTGAAGTATTTGAAAGCATACTCCAAATATGGAGTACTACTCTCACAATACTCCTCCTAGCTGGGCCCCCTCCCCTTCCTCCACTATTTGCCACTTGTCACCCTTCCTAGCTAATTTCCTTCCCTTTTTGTTTCCCATGTGACATGTGTCCAACTTCTCCCCCACTCCTCTAAATCACAACCATTTATTTTCTTAATTGCACATATGTATCTGACGGTTTCAAAATCATAATGTTTTTATTTTTAAGATTATTAATGCATGCTATTATATTAATGCAAATTAAACGTATTTCACAATTTGATTTAATTCATATAATAACAATTATGTAATAATTTTAATATTTCACTATTTTAAAATTTAACTAATACGAGGTATATTTTAATTTTACTAACATGTATTTTAAAAATTAATTATACTTAATTAATTAATTTAGTAAATAATTTATAGGTAAAATTTAGTGGGCTATATATATAATACTTATATAAAAGTAGGAGAGAGATAGTAGAAGAGTATCATAAGAGGATCCTCTTGTTGTGAGATATTATAAAGGAGGAGGAAGATGAAGAGTATGTAGATAATAGAAAGTAGGGTATATGACAAAATAGATGATGTGTCAAAAGGAGAAGAGGAGAGAGAGTGAAAAAGTAGGGGAGTAGAGTGCTCCCATTGTTGATGCTCTAAACCTTCAAAAGAATCTTTAAACAACTTCAAATTTCTCCCAAAAAAAAAAAAAAAAGGTAAGATAGTGATATGTGGAAGTTACAGATAAAGAAGTACTAATTAGTGAATACCTTAAAATCTACCAATAATACATCACTCAATTAGGAACTAAAATAATCAAACGATACTTTTTTTTACCTTTCCTTAAGACAGCAAATCATGTTACATTACCATAAAAATTTAAGTCTTCTTATCACATTATGTACATCTAATAAACTTTATAATTTCCATCAGGGTTGTACACTGTACACATGTCCAAAACTGGAGTGGAACTTGTTGGACCGGAAGACTGGAATCTTTCATTTCAGTAGACCAGGACCAGACTGGAACTTTCCTTACACACACCCCACTTAAAAAGGTTTTTTCCTACTTTTCTTACGTGTGTTCCAATAATCACTCTCTCTACAACTCTCCTAATTGTGTATTTAGAGTAGCACTAATAATATAAAAGGAACAGAAGCAATATCCTAATATATTATATTAATATAATACTCCCTCCAATCCTTTAGGTTCTTCTGTTCTTCCGTTTTGGTACATTTCTTTAAATTCTACCCTCTTTTACTTAAAGTAATTTTTTGGCAAATTATTGTTACCATATGGGTCTACTAATACCACTTGAATACTTTCCAACCGCATAATACACTCGCTCTCCTACCCATGTGGGTCCAATACAACCCACTCTTCTTCTTTACCTGTGTTTATGTAGCTACAATTAAGGGGAAGAGCTCAAGGGAACTAGAATATATGCTACTTTACGAAGTACATAAAAGTAATTAGCATGCCTTTTAATTTGAAGTAGTGTGAAGTGAGTAATAGTGAAAGGATGATTTCGTCTAAACTACCTCAATTTGGTACTTTTACAAAAAAAAATTACTCCCTCTGATACTTTTTGTTCTTCCCACTTTTCCTTTTATTATCTCACAAAAAGGATTCACATGAGAAGAACAAAAAGAATCGGAGGGAATAGTATTTTTCATACTACCTCCATCCCCGAAAATTTGATTCACTTCTATTCATACGGTCAAAGTTGATCGTTCATTTGTTCGATTCTTCTCAATGCTAATTTTTAAAGTTAAATAATGCATAATTTGCACTTATACATATTTTAAGATATTAATTAATGGTCAAATATGTGCATGGAAGACAATAAAAGACCTAAGTTCCTTGAACTTTTAGGAATGTAGGGAAAATTTTCATATTTATTAAGAAACAAGCTTTACTTTTTAGTTTTTACTACCTTTGTTATTTTCAGCTCTACCCACTTACTATACATATGCAAACTAAGAAATATTGAAGAATGAGAGTGGGTGTAAAATAAAGTAGGAGAGAGAATGTAAAACAATGGGTTTGATTAAGAAAAATGGTAAACAAAGTAGAATTGTGGGGTATGAGAGGTAAGATGGTAAAGGGGTATGTCAAAAAAAAAGAATAAAGCAAAAAAGAACGACCCTAAATGGAAAGTGAGTAGAATAAATAAATAATTTAAAAGTTTTTTTTTTAAAAAAAAAAAAAAAAAAAAAAAGCCAAAGCGTTCATACTACTATTACATTAAAATAAATGGAATTAAACTTTGAAGTGACTGAGATTTCTTAGTTGAAAGCAAAATATTAATAAAGATAAGTGACTAAACTTTGAGGTTGATACAACGCGATATTTAGATATAGAGATCAATTAAGGATGAAATTAGGTCAATTCTATAACTTAAAGATAGTACTTTTAATAGTCATAAAATGTAATGAAGTGGAGCAAGTAGTAGTCAAAGGATAAATTCTTCAAAACAACCTCACTTTGGCACTTTTTTTTCTAAAAAAAATGTCATTATCTTAATTATAAAATACGACTTAGATGATTGGAGTTGAGAAAGACATAAGGAAGTTACTGAACGAAAGGAAAGGATCATAATTAGTGATTACAAGAGATAAAATCTTGATTCATGACACCAACCACATCTTTGGAATTAAGGTTTTGATTGTTGTTGTTACCATAATTTTATAAACATGCTTGATTTTATAAATATATATATATATATATATATATATATATATATATATATATCACCCAATTAAATCAAATAGAATAAACAAATAATTATATTATGAAGTGACTAACATTTTGTCAATAAAAAGCAAAATGTTATCAAAGATAAGAGACTATCCTTAAGAGGTTGATTTACCATGATATCGAATATGGAAAATTGAGGCTGGAATTTGGTCATTTTTTACTATAGTAAGTTACAAAAGTCATAAAAGGTAGTTATTTATACAATAATGATACTTCCTACGTTCTATATTATTTCCAACATAGCACTTTGGCATATATTTTAAGGAAGAGATTTGAAGGTGTAACGAGCATATTAATAAAAAAAAACAAGCAAGATGGAAATTATATGTTACCCGTGTTTAAATTTATTTTGATTAAAATACTCAAAATCTCTTCTTTACAATGTGTGTTAAATTGCTATGTTGCAACTTGCAAGTAATGGAACGGAAAAGTACACTATAAGTATCTTCCAAAGCAATTATACACTACAATTACAAAATTCTCCCTATAATGTCTTCCAGAAATTTCCTACTCATTTCTCTCTTGGATAACTTGATATCACTCCTCCTCTCACTAGACTTTCACAATTCAGCTGTAGCTGTTGCTGTATAATTAGATTTAAAAATTTCAAATTGGCCCAAACTAACTATAGCTTGAAGCACCCGATCTTTGACTAGTAACTGCCAAATCACCAACTATCGATTGGGATGCAACGCGTGTCATTACTATTCCGCTGGCAACGAGTAATCTTTAATATTTTATAATTATTTTTTTATTTTTACTTTTTTTTCTTTTCATTAACCATATTAACCTTAATTTTCTATATTTCATTTTCAAAAAAATTTTAGTTTAAGTGATTGTATCCTCTTATCAATAAAATTCTAACACTAAAATTCTATTATGCATAAACCTAAAGATTTATCAAGCTTACATTATATGTACTTCCTCCATTTTTTAAAAAGTGCTAACATGTCGTGATGGCACACATTTTAAGGATGTGACTGGAAGATGTAAATGAACAAATTAGCTAATATAATTTGAACACCGTTAAGAGAGACATATTTTGTTAGTGGTGTTTAAATAAATCTAGCTAATTTGTCCGTTTACCTTATCTCTAATCTCTTACTCAAAATGTGTGTCACAAGGACATGGTTTCACTTTAATATATATATATATATATATATATATATATATATATATATATATATATATATATATATATATATATCTCCAAGAAAAATGGTGACATTGATCAAGACGTGGCTCATAGGATTAAGTCAGGGTGGCTTAAATAGAGAACAGCTACAGGAGTGTTATGTGGCCGAAGCATACCTTTACAATTGAAGGGGAAATTCTATAGGACTGCCATAAAATCAGTGTTGTTTTATCATGGATGTACAGGAACAATCTAAGAGATAAAATCATAAATGAAGTTATTCGCAAGAAAGTGGGTGTCGCATTGTAGTCAATTAAGGGAAAATCGTTTGCGTTAGTTCGGACATATAAGACGGAGATCCAAGGGTGCACCAGTATAGTACAAAAATCAAATTGCAGTAACAAAAAGTAACAAAGAAAGAATTAAGATGTTGTAGCTTTATTATAATCTCAAATTCTCAATGACATCTCCACATAAAGATTTCAACTTATCGTCTAGGTTTAGGCCTCTTCACATGGCAATCCATTTCTTTATGATAATGAAAAAAGCGCAATACACCACGACCATCAACAATAAAATCAAGATGCACTTAGTATGGTTCATCTTATTGCAATAATCTAAGATGTCATACTATTTATCAAATAACACGCTATCTAATATACATTTTAATTTAGGTCCTTAGCATTATGATGAGTAGGGGTGAGCAAAAGATCAAAACTGTAGACACCTGATTGTATCTCCCTAAAAACCAAACCCAGTCTCATTTCGTGTCCTTAAAATTGTTCCTTTTGTGTCCAATTTATATAAAAAGTCTACAGCTGATTATTTTGGTTTGTAATCCCAGTCCAATTATTGCTTAGTTGGAGGGAGTTTGAAAAGAGCTTTCCAACGATATATTATAAGCAAAAATCCGACTTAAAACAAATAAGTTTTGGCCAAAATACCAAACCGAGCCTAGGTCCACCTTAGCTACGACCCAATGATTATATAAGGGTCAAAACATAACCCTAACCCGGTTAGGAACTTCTAGAATCCTCTAGAATGTTCTAATTTATCCTTTCTAAAGATAAGGATCAAAAGAGTTCGAAGCCGAATAAAACTTCTCATATGATAGTCTTTATCCCGTTCAAATTAAAAGACGTCCGAATATACTTCACAAATCTAATTCCATTAAAAATCAGACTCCGTAGGGCTTTATTATCTTCATAAATCATCGTAGAACGACAAAACCAATGCAACACGTCAGCTACATCGCGCCACGATAGAGACGGGTGCATCGTGACAATTTTGTCGCCTCGCGTCAAAAAGAGTTCTATTCCGTTCCAAATTCTGATCTTTTCTGATCGTCCGGACTCTCTTTTTTCCCTATAAGTAGAGGTCACTTTCCCGTTTTCAGATTAGCAACAATCATCGATAATTAGCCTTGATAATCCCATCATCAATCATCCCATGTTCTTAGCCTTAGCCTAAACACATCCTTGATACTCTCCCAAATCAGTCACAATACCTCATTTACGAGATTCGAATACTCAAACCTATACTCGACGTTGCCTTCGATCTCGGCGTGAAAGGTTGATTGTTCTGAGGGTTTGGTCTTAAATCTATATTTCAATTCATATTTGATTTATTTGCTTTATTGATTTAACTTTCTAGAAGTTTACTAACGTGTGTATTGTTTTAATAGCAAGAAGGTTCAGGCATCAAAATGAGTAATTCAATCATTCTAATTATTATTCTTTAATTTTGGAGTAGAAATCATGTTTACAATGTTATTATGATTCCTAGTATCATGTTTAGAACGCTTATTATGATTTTAAGTATCATGTTTAGGATAACGCTTTGATTTTGTTATTAGTGACATGCTAGGATTTGTTATTAATACGTTTAGTATCATGCCTAGGAGCTTACTACTAACGATGTTTTGATGATATTCTTATAACGATGATTGTTGTATTAATCATATGTTCCTTGACTATTCATGAGTTTTTGTTATTGCTTGATCACGCCCCTTTTTGCAGGTTTAAAGGAAATTTGTACTTGAAATCACGCCTAATAAGATAATTAATAATTTGATTTAGGCTAATATGATATTAATTCTAGTGATCACCATAATAGATTAGATTGTGCATTAATAATCAACCGACGTAGATTAAACAAGTTCAGGATTAACTTGATGTAAGTATGTTGATCGAAACACATAAATATCATAAGAATTGAGTAGAGGCCTACTTAGGGCGGGTTCAATCTCTTTTAGGTTGGATTCATACCATCATCCCCGAACATCCGGTCATGGTTTCGGACCGCTATGGAATTAGCGATCTCCGTGATCGTAAATGGGGTGTAACCTTCACACCCGTAAACGAATTATAAGTTCTTAAAACTTGTTGGCGACTCTTTTTCTCTAGCTTCTTTTTCCTTGGAACGCCGCCATGCTTAAAAGCATGAACTACAATAGGACTCGAGTTGAAAAATTCTCTACAGGAACCGAAATCTGTTAGGGGACAAAAGGTTCCGGTTCCGTGAAGTAAGCAACATGTTCCGGTTTTTAATTGTTTGGAACCGAAACATGTAGGGTACCTTGTAGCTTGATAAAAGAGTTCACTTAAGTTCAATTTATACACCAATTCTAGCCTGTTTTTTAAATAATAAATATCAAAATACCAATTATAAATATATATATAATAAATTTGCTAAACGACTAGTATCAGTGTATTTTATTTGCGAATTGTAAACATTATAAATTAGTGACAATCTAGTTTTCTTTTAAAAAATTCTCGAGAAGTTATTAATTATATTAAAAGACGAAGAGGAAACGAAACCTATTTCGGTTCCCGTTTTCCAAGAACATGTTCAAGAGGTTCCGATTCCTATTTTGAAAATCTTGTTCAAGAGGTTCCGATTCCTATTACAAGGTTCCCTAAGCTCACCCCATTGATGAGGGTGCATTCTTCATAGCCAACAAGTCCTACCATTATGATTAGGGTGCATTCTTCATAGCTACTAAGGGTGAGCATAACAGGGTACCCTGTAAAAATTCTTGGAACCAGAACCTGTTGCAACGAGACCAGAACATGTTGAACGGGTTCCTAGAAATTAGGAACCGAAATCGAAACCTACCTACCGGTTTCGATTCGCAGTACCCTGTCTTGTAATATACTTACTAATTTTTTGCTGAATTTTTAAAACTAGTTGGTCATTAATTTATAATGTTTACAACTCGTAAAATAAACAAATTAATAGTAGTTGTCTAACAAATTTAATAAGTATATTTATAATTGTGATTTTGATATTTATTATTAAAAAAATAAGTTAAAATTGGTGAATAATTCAAAATTAAGTGATACTTTTAACAGGGTACCCTACAGGTTCCGGTTCCATAAAATTGAGAACCAGAACCGAAACCTATTGCACCAGGTTCTCCATTTTGCTACCCGGAACCTGATCCTCTTGTACAGGTTCAGCGGTTCCTAACATTTTCCAATTCCGGTTCAAGGTACCCTGATTTTTTGCTCACCCTTAATAGCTACCATTGCAGATTTAAACTACAGAATTAGTAATATCCAAACCCCATCATATCTCAGTGGTATCACAAAAGCTATGTTCTTTGAACTAGACGCAAAGTATAAACATCGATTATTCGAAACAAATGAACTTAATAAAAACTTAACAATGCAATTAACAATCAAATTATACATAAGTAAAGTTTATAAATTCATGAATAACAATGTAACATAAATCATAATTGTATTGCATATAAATCGAGGAAATTTACCAGTTGGAAGCTAAATTATCATAAGCCTCTTTCACTTCTTCAATCGAACTAAGTCTACTGATTCCAAGAACTACAAAATTCAAATTAAAAACCAATAAATCAACAAAAATATAAAATTCAAACAATTCGACGCAATTCAAACGAAGGAGAGAGAAATTGAGTACCTTCGTAATGAGAAGGGGGGAAAGCGCTAGGAAGAAAGAAGATTTGAAAGACGAAGAAGAGAATGAAAAGCGTCGCGGGAATCCAATAAGCTTTAATTAACGATGAAATTGGGGGTTCGGAGGGTTTTTTCGGCGCTTTATCTGTTGTTGAAGATGAATTAGTGGAGGAATTGTTCTGGGAAGAAGTAGGGTTAGAATCCGCCATTGTTGAAGGTCGGAGTTACGAAGTAGAAGTTGAGAGTTCACTGGAATCTCTGTTTCTGGTGACAGTGATGCAGGATTCCTTGCTTCAATTTGGGGTTTTATATTTCCAACAAAAAATAATTATTTTAAAATTTAATCATTTGAATGGACTGTTAGTTTATAGAAAGCCCAATATAAAAGCCCAAAAGAGAGAAGTGTTCATGTCCAATATGGAAATTAATGTAATTGTTTATGGCTAGACTCTAGTTTAGCCATTTATCCCTACACCCCCCCTAAACGACGCCGTACCACTACCCCCACACATTCCAGTAACTTCCCTCTAAAACTGCCAGTAACTTCCCACTACCCCACCCATATATATATAATTAAAAAAAAAAAAAAACTTTTCAAATAATCACATTTTTCTTTCTCATCCTCTTTCTCCAATTTCTCACTCAACCTCCATTTTCTCTCTCTACTCCATTTTCGTACATGCAATTAGCAAGTAAAATTGTCTAAAATGTCCGACATAAGAGACGAAATTGCACAATCTCGACAAATTTCAACAACAACAAACCAAAAATCTAATGAGTAAGTATGTTTTACATGTTTAGTGTAAAATTAATTGAAAATTGCGAAACAAAACCCTAATTTTTTGGTATTTTTTCTTTTTGATGATGCTTCAGGAAAAAAATTGAAAATACTGGAGTTCCAGAACAATCAAAGTAAGTATTACTATTTTTTTTGGAATTATAAGCATAAATTTATTTAAATTTGCTCATATTTAAACAAGTTACTGTTTAATTTCAAAATAAACATAATTTTCCTCTATTTCTGAGACGATAATAAAAATTTAAACAAGTTACTGTTAATATTGGAATGTATGCATAATTTTGATTAAATGATCAACCAAAAAAAATATAAAGTATAGTATTGTGAAATATAATGAACAAATACAAAACAGTATATGTTCAAATTGGATTGTGTGCATATATGTGTGCATATATATGTATACATATGTTCAAATTTGTATATTATGTGTACAGCATGCAATTTATGTTTGTTTCTAAATTGTTCATTTCTAAATTTATGTGTATACATTTACTGACATATTAATTGTTCATGTCAAAATTCCATTTTGTACAAATAGAAAACATATACTTTATTCATCTGTGTAGTAAAATGAACATTTACAAAACACTATATTGTCAAAATTCATATTATATTATATATATATCCATATATGTGTATACAAATGTTCATTGCTACAACTATATTGATCATTTATATGAACTATTCTGTACATTTGTCTAACATAGAAACATCATGTCAATTTTTATGATTTACAATATTAATTTACATTGTAGTGATGTACCATTTAAAGTGATACACTTGATGCAATTTGACAATGGAATGTTCAATCCTTATCCTATAATTCATGAGAGAAAAGAATGTTCTGAAATAGACAACAAATTGGATAGAAATGAAGTTATAAAAAAGTGGGAACCCTATTTATTAGGAGACAACCTACATCCCAAGTAAGTTGATATACTTACAAATATTCATATATGTAATATTTAATGTACAATCATTTACTTCAATACTTAATCTCATAATTGAAATAATTTGTAAAATTTTAGTGAACCAAAAAAGTTGAAAGTGAAATTTATAATGTCAAGATCAAGGCCAGAGAAAAATCAATCAATAAGGTATAAATACTTAATAAAAATTCAATAATTAATTTTTATACAGTTACATAATCATACTTTTATGTATTAACATTCGAAAAATTTCAGTGAACAAGAGAAGGAAACTTCAAAAATAGATGATGCATCAACAAATCAAAGGTATATTCTACCTCAATGTGTTTAATGTTCATTTATTTCTTAGTTGTCATACATAATCTAATGATTTGCATTCTCAGAAAAAAAAAAAAACAACTGAAGAGGAAGCAAAAACTGATCACCTACAACAAGAAAAGGCTGGATCAGAATTAGTGAATACAGGGTATTTGATTCCCATAATGTTCATTTTCATATTACTTAATAAACATTTTTAATTATTTGAAATTAATTGATTTTCAGAAATCAATCACCTAAGAAAGACACAAGAGAGGCTGAACAACTACAACCAAAAAAGGATGCAGCAGGGTATTTTCAGAAATCAACTAATGTTCATTTTCATATTAGTTGATAAACATTTTTAATCATTTTCAATTTTTAATTTTCAGAAATCAATCAACTGAAGATGAGCCTCCAAAAGAGGCTACAGCAAAGGATCAGCCTACACAACAAGTGAAGGCTATAGCAGAGGATGAGCCTCCAGCAGAGGAAGAGCCTCCAAAAGAGGATGAGCCTCCAGCAGCAGTTGAAGAAACACATTCATACATAATGCAAAAGTATGAACATATATAACTTATTAAATGTTTCTATTCCACATTTACAATATTATTGATCATAAATTATCTGTTGCCAGGAAAAAATTAAAAGTGTCAACTCAAGGAATACTAAAAAAGCTGACAAAAAACTGAAAAACTGCTCCTGTTAGCAAGGTCATTGCTGCTAAAAAGGCCCCTGCTACAACTGTTGATACTGCTGGAAAAGCCACTGCTGCTGAAATGGCCCCAGCTACAACTACTGAAAAGTCCTCTGCTGCAGAAAAATCCCATGCAGCAAGTTCTGCAAATGCACAACAGAAGGCCCCTGCTGAAATTAAAAAAATCCTATTAGGTAATGTACATAATTGTTAAATTAAATATTAAATTTTTTTAATCAATAACACTTATACTGAAAATGTTCATTTACCAATTTGTAAATGATCTAAATGTATAGGTGGTGAAGAAATTGAGATTGAGGATGAAACAGAAGAAGAATTGGAAAGACAAGAAGAATTGCAAAGGGATGAGGAGTTGACAAGAATATTGAGAGGTATAAAACCTGTTGAAGAGTTAAATTTGTCTCAAAAGAGTGAAGAATCTTCACAAAATTCAAAGCAACCAAGAAGGAAAATGGTTGCAAGGAAAAATCAAAAGAAAAAAGAATTGGAAGAAAATCAGAAAAAACAGGAATATGAACAATCACCAGCAAGAAGAACAAGAAGTAAATCACGAGGTAAATAAAATGTACAATTTCTAATATAACAATGATCATATTAAATAAAATATTACAACTATATTAATATTTATATAACAATGTTTATTTGCAGATGTTAAGTTGCCTGGCATATCAACTATATCAACAGCTGCTGCAGCAATTGCTAAAAACCTACCAGCAGCAACAACACCCAAAAAACCTGGGCGTCCAAGGGCTGCAACTGCAGTTGCAGAGAAACCTGCTGAGAAAACAGGGCGTACAAGGGCTGCAGTTATTGGGAAAGCAGGCCAAAAAGGTAAAAGAACATATCTAAAACAATAAATGTTCAATTACAATCTTACACTTTTAAAATGTTTATTTTACTTAATGTAATTGATCAAATAATTAGGTGGTCAGAAAAGACCTGCTGCATCAGCCAAATGTCCTGCAAAAAAAAAGAAAAGTCATAGATCAAGTGCCTCATGATGAACCATCAGAGGATGAAGAACAAGAAGAAGTCCCTGCAACAAGTTCTGCTCCTGCAGAAAAGAAAATTCTTAAAAAAGTAGAACAAAAAGGTAATGTACATATTAATAAAGTTAAATGTTCAAATACAAACTAGCAATTTACACTTTCATATATATATGTTCATTTTACATATTATAATTGATCAAATGTTTAGGTGGCCAGAAGAGGCCTTCTGCATCAGCTAAAGGCCCTTTGAAGAAAACAAAAATCATTGAAGAACAATCAAAGGAGGAAAATGAAGAAGATGATAAAAGTAATACTGATCGATCAGACAGTGAGGATCCAGCTTTTGATGCTGAAAAAGAAGAAGATGAAGAAAGTGAGGAGGTGGAAGTAGTTCAAGAAAAGAAAACAACATTGAAAAAACCAAAAGCTGAAGAAAAAAGAATGGTTCTATATGAGAGGGAACCAATAAAAAAGATTGTGAAGAGGAAAACTGAATTTTCAGTGGCTAAAAAAAAGAAGAGGAGGAAGAAAAGAATGAAGAGGAAGTTGGAAGTTCGACAAGAGGAGGCCATGTCAAATTCATGCATTGGGTTAAGAAAATGAGTGATACACAGAAGAAATTAGTGCATGAAATAGGACTGGGGCCGTTGTTGGATATAGAACTTCCTCACCTTGACAAACAATTCAGCCATTGGGTTTTAGATAGCTTTGAAGTCAGTAGTTGTAGTTTTGAGCTGCCTAAAGGTGAGAAAATTGAAATTGAGGTGGAGGATGTGAGAATTGTATATGGTTTGCCAATGGGAGACATTCCCATTGTTGAAGCCAAATCAGACAGAGCAAGTGAAGATTTTGGTGTATTTATAAAAAATTGGAGGTCAAAATGGCAAGGCAAAACACCATCTGTAAACCAAATTATTGCTCAATATACAAGTGATAAATTCAAAAACCAAAGGCCAGCAGAAGAAGATTTTCTCACCAACTTTTTGGTAGTTGCTGTGAATTGTTTGATGAAGTGTATTTCAAACAACCAATGCCATTTCAAGTTTCTGTTTTCTATGATGGACAAAGAAAAAATAAAAAAACTTGAATTGGTGTCAGTACGTGTTTGACTCTCTCATCAGTTGCCATGTGACATGGAGAAAGAGTGGAGGAAAAGGATTCTACAATGGACCACTGCAATTTCTGATGGTAAGTTTACAACACACAATAGTAAATTATAAAATGTTCATTTAGTAACAATGAATGTTCATTAACAAAATGTTAAATATCGATTTTGTCTAAAATTTTAATCTTTTATATTAATTGTTCATTTGTATTATATTATATGTTCATTTATAGTAATGGGTTTTGGTGCAGCTGTTCTACTTTGACAGAGTTCAAAGATTGAACAAAAAACAACCAAGAACAATTCCAATAATTTCTTGTTGGAAAAGGGATATGTCACTTGAAAGGATAAAAACAGAAAATGATTTGAACTATGGATATGGAAAAGTCCTTCCAAGAATAGAAGAAAAGCCTGCAGACAATCCTAAGGTACAAAATGATCATTTATAAATTATGAAATGTTCAATATCAAAACACATAATGTCTTATATGATTTTTCTTATATGTTCTATAAATGACAGGTCTTTATGAATGAATTTGCATCAATGGTACAAGAAGTTGGTGCATCTTTGGCAAGACTTTCTACCAAATTGGTTAAGGCAAAAGAGCTCTTCCCTGGGAATCAGTTGGTCAAGAAGGTAGATGAAGTGTTGGGAAAGATGGCAAGAGAACCATCAATTCTCAGCCAAGATGAAGAAATATTTGGATCAGAGGATTTTTTGAATGCCATAGCTCAAATTGAGAAGGAACTGATGGAGGCAAGTGAAGCAGAAGAAAAGAAAATAGGAAATGAGAAGGAATATGATATAAGGAAGGCATTCAGTTTGGGTTGCAACTTAACTCCCCCAACTCCAACAACTGGTAAATATGCTTAATTAAAAACTGTCATTAATTTGAATATCCTTACTTAAAGAGTATAATATAATTAAAGAATTAAAATTTAATTTATTTGAACACAGAAGCACAGATTAATGTTGCAGCCACAACTTCAACAACAACTGATGCAAATGTTTCTTCTAAGCCAGAAGAGGGTAAAGCTTTAATATCTATGTACAATTATGAAAAGTATAATGTTCATTTATAAAATAATAAGCTTGTTTAGTCTAAATATTCAAAAAAGTATATATTCAGAATAACAAATGTTCATTTACATTAACAATTTCATATATTTTAAATCAACAGAAAGAGTTGGAGGTTCAAATTCTGAAGAACCACAAGATGGAGGAAATTCAAAAAAGGTAAAAAGTTCACTTATATAGTATTAAATGAACATTTGTGATTCTAAGATATTCTTCTTTAATGATACTAAGTCTATATATGTGTGAATGCAAATTAATACAAAAAGCATTAAACAAAGGTGAAGGTTCAAAATCTGAAGCATTAGAAGAAAATGTTGAAGGAAATTCAAAGAGTGGTACAATGTTCACATATTACAAATAAATGATCAAATTATTAAGTATAATGTTCATTTCTAGTTATATTAAATTTTTTTCATGTATTTTGTTTGCAGCATCTGATTCAAAAGTTGGTGATCCCAAGACACCAACTGAAAATAGGGAAGCTGCTGGAGATATTTCTACAATCTTGAAATCTCCAGCATGTTCAAGTATGGAAGATATCCTTGATAAATCAAACAAGAAAGGAGGAAGCATGGGGTAAACATGGAAGACCTATCTTGTTAGAAAATATATAATTTTGAATGGACATGTAGAATAAATTTGGTTATAAAGTGTAATTTTTTTGGACAGTTTTTGTTTATGAAGTTAGTAATGGATATGTAGTATAAAATCAGAAGGGAATATTTTGCTTTAGGGTAGGAATGCACAATTTAAGATATGTAAATTATGTATTTTAATTTAAATGTTTTAGTAATATTTTAAGTGTTCATTGTTCAAAAAAGGAGAATAATGTTTTTTTTTATATTAATTACTCTTCATTACTAACCATGATTAATATTTCAGAGAAGACAAGAAGAAACAGATATATGCTTCAAATGTGAAGGAAAGGTAAATGATTATTCCACATATACATGTTCTTTTACATTAAACTGAATAATCATTTATACTATATTTATATTCAGTGAGACAAAAAAGGATTCAAAAGAAATTGAAACAGAGAAGATTCAAATTTCCAAAAACACAACAGGACAAAGGTAAATGGTCTTTACATGTGTATAGATTTATAATGTTCATTATCAATATACTAAATGATCATTCATAATTCAATATTTATTCAGTGACAGAGAGAAGACTTTGGAAAGAAAAAAATCAAGAGAAGCTGAAAAGGCAAAAACTGAGATTGCAAAGGAAAAAGAGATAAGGTATTACTATTTGTTCTTTATATAAATTATTTGTTCATTATTAAAAAAATTCATATTTTTATTAATATATGGTCACATTAACTAGGCCACAAAGGGAAATCCCAAATGTTCCTCTTGCTTTCCGATCTCCATACATGGTCAAGTACAAGGATTTGTTCAAAGATGAAGACACAATGAACAAACTTGTAACAGTATGCTTATAGTGGAAAAGATCAAAGGTATACATCACTTACTTCATTAAAACTTTAACATTATGTTAGTTGTAAACTCATAAAATTTAAAAAATTGATATTTTGCAGTGAGCTACTATACTATGATGGAGTGAATTCGATCAATAGGGAAGAAATGAAAACTCTTGAAGGGGATACATTAGTAGTTAACAATGTGATCGATTCATGGGCAGTAATTCTGAATCAAAAAAGGTCAAAGAACAAGTTATACTTTTCAACATTTCCACATGTAAGTCTTTATTGAAATTACACATGTATACATTGGTGTACTAAAATGATCAATTCACTTATACTAGATGATCATTATGAATATTAAAATGATCCTTGTGCATTATTTGCAGCAAATTATGTATGCAAATACAGTGTGTCCTGAAGGATCATCAATGGAGCTTAGAATTGCATACTTCAAAGAAAGAATAACAAATGAATTGAGGTTATACAAAATCAAGAGTGCAGTTGGATATCAACAGGTATTAATGAACAATATGGAATTATAATATGTTCATTTACATTAATGTGTATATATAATAATATTGTGTACTATGTACAGATTTTTTTTCCAGTGGCCATATATGCACATTTCTATCTTCTATGCATTGATCATATCAATGAGACAATGCATATAATTGACAACAAGAAACTGCCAAAACATCAAACAATTGCAACAAAGTATGAAAACCAACCCCAATTGGTGGTAAGTATATTGTTTAATAGATATATAAATGATCAATTTGTTTATACAAAATGATCAATATTGAAAATTAAAATGATCAATATTAATATGATCCTTTGAATTTTTTTTCTGTATATGTTGCAGTTAAAAGGTTATGCAGAATATTTGAAAGGGTTGGGGTATGAAGATGCAGATTCTATTGAGAAATATAAGGTGGTTTTGCAAAAAATGAAGTGGAGGAGCAACGAAGATTACACCAACTGTGGAGTTTACATTATGAAACATATGGAAACTTTCACTGCTGATCCCAATGAAGAATGGGTTTGTGACCTAAAACCAAACAATGTAAGTAAATTTCAACAAAACAAAAAAATATACTTCATGATCACTTTATAATACATAATGATCATTTATATCCCATTAATGTTCATGTTTATAATAAATTATTTTCTTGGAACAGGTGAACCAAATCAGAAAGCTCACAGTACAATACACTGCTGAACTAATGCTGAATGAAGGAAACAGGCAGTCACAGAACAATAGAAGAGCAGCAAGAAGATTTGCACAAGCTTAATACAATATGTTCATATATAGACATATATATGATCATACTTGCTTTCAGTATTTGTATGGACATAAGTTTTTGTTGTTGTTCAAGTAAAGACAAAATTTATTATCTTTTTAATATTTACAAATAGTAAAGTGTTACATTATAATTGCCAGTTTTAAATCATCTAATATAATTATTCCAATTTAATAATGGTTCTTACTATTTAAAATAGTATATGATCACTTCCAAAAGCAAAAATAATCATTTATAGAACATTTAAGAATAGTTTGAAAAAAAAAAGATTCAAATTACTTAATAAATCAAAATATAAAAAACTTAAAGCACTTGAATCTCTATAAAGTTGAGACAACTAAAAATGTTGATAGTTAAACACCAAAACATAATTGCATATTGATTTACTCTCTTATTTACCATTTGTAGCCAATCTCTTAGCCACACTAGTATCAAAAAACGCTAATAACCTATCATATTTGGTTGAAATCTGTGGAGAACCTCCTTGAGTACTTCTTGAAACAGTAGGAGATCCTTGAACATTCATTGAAACACTAGGAGAAAGTAGAACATTCCTTGAAACACTAGGAGAAACTTGCACATTCCTTGAATTTCCTTGAGTACTTCTTGGAACATTAGGAACATCATGCACATTTCTTGAAATACTAGAATCAACTTGAACATTCCGAAAACAGCCTTGAGTACTTCTTGGAACATTAGAAGGAGCTTGAACTTTCTTCGGAACACTAGAACGAACTTGAACATTTCTTGGAGCTTTTGGAGGATTTTGAACAATGCTAGAAACTTTAGAAGGAGCTTGAGCATTGATTTGAGCATGCACAACTGTGGGAAATTGTACATTTCTTGGTTTCTTTGGTGGCAATTGAGAACTTGTTGGAAAATTATCAACATCATGAGCAATTGCAGCTGTTTTACCCTATTGATCAAAATTAAAATAATTAGTGATCAAATTCAAAATTCATAATGACCTTATACAAAATTAAAAGGTAGATGATTAATATTTCACCTTAACAATAGAAGATATGTCTGGATCAACAGTAACGTTTGATTGCATAGAGCTATATCCATATTCCTATAATAAAATGAAAATTATAAAAACATTATAATCACAACTTAAACTACTAAAATGAACAACTACAATTACATACATAATCATTTACATAATACCTGTTCAAAGTCATTTGAAACACTATCATCTGAAGGGATATCTTCTACAATGGCAGTCTTTTTATTACAAACCTTGAAAAAAAATTAAAAGTAAAAATGTTTAATATTCTAAAGAATTTGATAAAAACAGATAAAAAAAAAGAAAATAAGTTTTTACCTGAGCACTTGGATCTTCAATCACAATTAACTCATTAGGATCAGCCAAAGAATTAGCATAAGATATAGGACACCCATTCTCGTCCAATTCCTAAGGCAAAACAAAAATGTTCAATTCTTGAACATAAATGATCAATAACAAAAACATAAATGTGCATTATTACCTGAACTACTGCTTGACCTTTAGATCTTTTATAAGGAGTGTATACTGACTTTTTCTTCAACCACTGACCCCTGGCTTTGTTATAAGCCTTCTCTAAATTACTCTTAGGCCTATAATTCCTCTCTCCAATAGTTCTTGATTTTGCCGGATTCTTAACTTCATGATCAACAATTTCAATACCTTCAACCGGTTAATAGTACCAGTAACACTCTCAATCTTTTCTTTTAAAAGATTGAAATAACATTCAACCTCTGCTCTAGCATTCAAAGAGTGTTGACAACTTGTTACCAACTTAACAAATTTCCTTAGTGTTTGTGTCCTCCAAACACTTGTAGATACTACATTGGTTTTCATTGTAGGTTCATCAAGGCCATGACTACACATAGCAGCCTTAGTCCACCTCTTACATATATAGTCATCTGGAATCTTATGAACACAATTCATATGATAAATTCGAAGAGCATGACAACAAAGCAAACCCATTTCACTAAACAACATGCATGTACAACATATTGCATGTTTTTCTTTATTAAAAACAACCTCGTGCTTGATCATATCTTTCCCAGGTCTCCACAAATGATAATAATATTCAGGAAAATTCACACCATCATCCTTATGATCACAAGCAGTACCCTTAATGAACTCTTCCTCAAAAAGCACATAAGCTTGAATAGTATACAATGATCTAGCATGAACAAGAATCCCAATGTATGCAAAGGCCAAATGACGATTACCTCTGATTGTATTATAATCTCTCCTTTTTTCTTTGCTTCTCCACTCTTGAACCACATCGAGAAACACTTGATAGAAATCACATAGACCTTGTGTCTTGTTAAGCCTTTGAGAAACTGATTTGTTAGTTGTCTCACTACGTTGAGATGAAAGCACACCTCCTGACCAAAATCTCTTTGAAAAAGCTGGACACCACATCTCTTTGATTTTATATAAATCATTCAACCAATCAACATTTGCACAGTCATATTTCAACAACATTCTGTAAATGAAACATGATCATTAAGCATAACAGTTATGATCATTATAAATAAACATTTATAAAAAACTAAATGTTCATTTTTGTAAAAATTATTTAAGAAGCTAAACAAGTATAAAGCAGAAGTACCTTTTCCAATAATGCTCAAATTCTGGTGGAGTTTCACAATACTTCAGTAAATAACCAAATAAATCAGTGAAACCATCCAAAGCTCTCAACGCCCCAATGTGTTTCTTAGAATTTTGTTCAATATGCCACACACATAATCTATGATGAACACCTTTGGGGAAAATATTTCTTATCCCAGCTGCAATTGCTTGAGCTTGATCAGTCATAATAGTAATAGGACTTCTCCTTCCCATAGAAGTTAGAAAAGTATCAAATAACCACTCAAATGATTCTGTTCTTTCATTAAGTATAAATCCCATGCCAAACATCACATTATTTGCATGATGATTCATACCCACAAATGGAGCACAAATCATACCATATTTGTTAGTCCTATAAGTAGTATCAAAAACTAACAAATCACCAAAGTAATGATAATCTCTCATCATCCTTCCATCTCTCCAAAAGAAATTAACCAATGCACCATTTTCATCTTGTTCAAAATCATAATAGAAATCTGCTTCATCAATTTGTCTCTTAGCAAAAAATTTGATTAGTTGATTGCTGTCACCTCCCCCAAGTTTAGCTGTCTTTTCAACAGAAATAGCATTATAAGCATCAGGAGCTGTAAAACAAAGGTTAGGAGACCCTCCAACCTCCTTTTTCAAAGCTCTCAAAGAATCAGAAACTTTAACTCCACTCAATCTAAGTGTAGAAATGAAATTAATATGTTCCTTAGAAATATCCCTTTGAGACCTTATTAAATGTCTCTTGTCAACAGGAATCATTTCATGATTATGAACCATCTCATGTCTTGTACATGTATATACACCTGAACGGTCAATACTAAACTGCACAAAAGCTAAGCAACCAGCCCTTATGTTAAGTCTCTCATACAGCCTATTATTCCTGCACTTATCATCTTTAAAACCCTCATTTGTACAAACAAATCTTTTCATAGAGAATGAATCATCTCTTCGCCTCTTACTTTTTCCAATTCTAATTCCAAAGCCCTTTCTAAATGCATATTCATTAAACATTTCATAAGCCACATCTTCAGAAGGAAATTGTTTCCCATAAAATTCAGAACTAGCTGCTTCCTCAAATAAAATAACATTCTTTTTTTCCACTGCAATATTAAAATGTAACAAATGAACACAAATAATAGCAATAATGTACAATAACCACAAGTAAACTGTTAATGATCATTTATCATTACATAAATGAACATATATCAAAATGATAATAAAACATATAAATGAACATTTATGATTACATAAATAAATGTAAATTACAGTAATTACACCTATGTTAACGTAAATGTACATATAATCTAACATACATGAGCATTAATTGAATGTCAAATTTTATAAAACTATAGACAATCATTAAAATGCAGAAAACTGGAAAAAAACATCAATCGAATGACAACATTACAAAGAAAAACAATAAAATCACAACAATACATCACAAACTATAAATTAAAATAATCATAAATAAAAATGAAATCAAATATTATAATCGACCATAATTTTGATTTTAATTCATACAATAAGCAATAACAATTAGCTAAACAATAAAATCAAAAATTATAATTGAGCATTATATAAACTATAGTTCATACAATTAGCAAAACTATGAAATCAAAAATCAAAATCGAACTATTACACGCGAAAAATAGAGCATAATCAAAATCGAATGATTGAGGAAAAAATTACTCACATTGTTTCGAAAACGAGTCGACTAAACCAACTCCAGCAGAAAAAATAGAATCACAATCACGATCAAAAGCAATTAAGCTAGAATCACTGTCACGATCAAACGCAATTGAGCTAGAAATTTCCATGGAAGAAGAGAGAGAAAAATTGGGGGAAAAATAAAAAATGCAGGAGAGAGAAAATGAAATAAGTAAAATATGAGATAAATAAAATGGAAATTAGGTTAAGAAAATCATTATATAGTTGCTTGAATAGAAAGTTAACAAAAATGAAAAAAGATGAAGAAAAAAAAATGGCAGAATGGTTCAATATAAAACGACGTAGTAGCATGGGGGTGTAGGAGAAGCTGGCTACCCTAGAGTCTAGGCAAAAATTTGTAAAATTAATGGACTTCATACATTTTTTTTAACAAATTGGACTTGTTATGGCATGTTTAGTTCATTTTATTTTTGTTTATCTGATCTGATCTGGTCTGGTCTGATTTGAAGTGGTCTGATCTGGTCAGATCTTATTATCTGAATTGATCAAACTTTGACCTTATATGAACAATAATATATAAGGAAAAAATGTATCAAATGGGGTCTTATTAGATTTGTAATAATGTGCACTTTAATAATATGTAATTTTCATAATTTTTTTCATTACGAAATTAAAAATATGTAGCAAAAAAAACCGCACATAAAACGATGATCTGATCTGAACTTATTTTTTATTAAATAAATAAAAATAAGTTGAACTGAACAAGGTCTTACATGAAAGGTCTTACATCAAAATAAGTAGTGTGCTTGAAAAATTGTATTTCTCTTTTGTTAGTATAATCCAAGCTCATCGCAATTTTTATTGCTTTTTTTTAATCAAGCTAAGCTTGACTTGGCCTAGAGAAAGCAGAGTGCAAGTTCAACCTCCACTAGAAACAATTAGAGAAAGGAGATTCTCATATCATTCCCCTACACTCCCAAAATGTCAAGCTCGCTAACTCGAGCTAGGTTGAGCCATAAAGGATTCCGAAGATTTTGCCTTTCGATCTGATATGGCCTTTCATTTAACATACAAAAAATGAAATAAAAATACTAACAAAAGAGGAATATACTCTGCATAAGAGTATTTGAAAAATCGAAAGTAAGATTTGATATAATTTGTTTATTCAAACAAACACTAATATGTGAATTTTGTCCACTAATTTGTATGGAGTAATAAGTATTTTTACATCTATAAGTAGTCATAAATAAGATTAATTATACTTTGTTTGTCCAAACAAACACTAATATATTAGTATTTGTTTGAACTTTATATTATATACAAAGTATATACTTTAATTTGTTTGTTCAAACAGACACTAATTTGTTAGTATTTTTGTTCGAACTATGTCCATTTATCTATTTCTCTAATAAAGATAAATTAGTTTTTGTTCGAACTTTGTTTGGACTTGTTACATGGAAATAAAATAAGCAGTGTCCATTTATTTATTTCTCTATTTCTTTAAGGTACATATTATTCCTTATGTTGATAATAAAGATTATTTCCATTTGTAAATTGTAAAATTAATTTTTGTAAGAATATGTTATATAGAGTAATAAATTAATAACTAATAAGAATGCATTTTTCTCTTATAATGAGGTGTTAGAAAATGCAAATTTACATCAACATATATCCAGCGGCCAAAATCAACAAATACATCTCTTAGCTTCATTTTCTTTTGTGTATAGAGCCACAAAAGGCAACGTTATAAACAAAATTTGATCTCGGCTCTCACGTACAACCCCTAATACTTTAAACAACTAATTTACGTTTCCATTGTCCCTTTGCTTCATTTGGATAAACAAAGAAGTTCCTTCATTATCTTAACTTAGCTTACATATAACAACAACAAAGGGTTGAAGTTTTGTATTCCACATAAGATTAAAGCAGCCCTATCTAATTTAACTGATTGAGAAGGTCCACATTTTGCAGCCTAAGAAATAATGGATATACATTATCAAACTTTAATATAATGACTCAAAATAGACCTGTATATAGTTTTATATAATTATGTGTGATATTCATTGCATTGTATAATATTAATATTCTTATAAATTAAACCTCTAATCTTGTAACTGGTCCCAAATAATTTGGGAGTGACACTTGCCCTATCTTTTTCCGGGTATATGTAGCTACAGGTTTCTGCATAGCCCTAATGGAATAATAATCTTTTTATTGATTGTGATTGCCAATTTTTACTGATTTGTTGACTTTTTTTTAGTAAGTGGGTTTGGCCCGTATCTTTTTATAGTGAAACAATTTGTTATTAGTAACATCATTATCAGCCAAAAATGTACAATTAGTAAAATATAATCTAGTTAATTTGATGAATATATATTTGGCTAACT